GTTGTATTCAGGTTAAAGAGGTCACCCGGATATGGTTCCCCCTAGACTGCAGTTAAGCCGGATTGTAATTACCAAGTTCAGTTTCTATGAAGATTATACTGCGGAAGGTTCTTAAACAGCCTGAAGTCTCGACTAAAGGTCTTCAGACCCTCTCAATCTGACTCTCTAGCGGGCGACTAACCTCCACCGGAGTCGACAGATTGAGGCCCTAAGAACAAAACCTCCACTACCGGAGTAAATCCGGTACAGAATAGTGAGTTGGTTCCTCGACTAAAGTCACCAACTCCCTACCTTCAATCAAGGATACTCTATTAACCTAGGCAGATATTCTCATTCTAGGTCAAAGCAGAAACAACAGGAATTTGATCAGGATTCAAGTCATTCAATCATTAAAACCTCAATCGAATATAATCAATCATAGAATCAGTACTTGGGTTCATACAATCAAAGCCTAACATACAAATCTAGGGTTCTCCATACCCAGATGAATGGGAGAACTACTCCATAGAGAAGAAAGCAAAAGCAGATTCAGACACGGAATTCATACTGCGAAGGATGGATTCCTGCTTCTGGACGTTGATTGGCACTTCTCCAAGCTCAAGCTGGCCTCCAATGGTGTTGAAGATCAATCTAGGGCACTTGGGAACTCTTGCTCGTCACTTTCTCTCTCTAGGAACTGATCTCTCTCTCAAAAACTCGAATCTCCTTGAATTGTGGCTGAAACTCTGCTTAAAAACATCAGTGGCCAAAGCACGGTCGAGGGCACGGCCGTGCTTTGCCTGGCTCCGCCCGTGCCTCGGCCAGGGCTTAATTACACGGCCAGCAGCTGGTGGAAACACGGTCGTGCTTCGCGATGGACACGGCCGTGCTTTGACTGAACACGGCCGTGCTTCAGTGCCCGTGTTTGCAACTGAATTGGCCAAACCAAATTTGCTCTCGGCATAAAAAGCACGGCCAGCAGTACACGGCCGTGTAATGCCTTGGGTCTGCCCGTGTTTTGGCTCCAGCTCACCGAAATGACTTCCGAATGCCCCGAAACTCGCGGTTAGCCTTCCCTTTAACGCCTGGGACCTGAAACATGACAAAATAGCACAACCCGGCGTAAAATAGGCCAAAACATACGACTATACTCCTCAAACGGATAAGAACTAGGGGCGCAAACATGTGCATTTACATCGTTATCAACAGCATTGATTGACCACCATCGCGTTCACCAAGAAGAACCGATGTCGATGTGGCCTTGGTCTGGCAAAGAGACACTGCAAATGGGTCCTTGCTAAGCAGTTCCTCGAAGTTTGGTGGGGATATTACTTGCAACTCATGCCCGGTGCAGGCCTCTTCCACCTCAACTTCGTCCTCGGTCTGGACGCAATTGCTTCTTCAACCTACCTTCCTTGTTCATGTGGTATCACCCCTGGAAAATGATCAAGAACTCCTTCTGCTTCACTTTCGTCAACCTCCACAACTTCTTTCTGCACCCTTTCTTGCTCTTCTTCTTCTTCTAGCACGGATTGGAGAGCAAGTTGCCAATCAATTTCTTTCATGAGATCTTCTTGCATCTCCTCACTCATGCCCACCTCTTCAAATCTCGGTGTGGGATGTGGGAAGGGGTGGTCGGCTACGACAGGACATTCTTGATCATGATCTTTACGGGAGCTCTCCGTGATAACTTTTGTTTTCTCCACAATGTCCTTGTAGCCTTCTTCTTCCTCCTCCTCCTCTAGTATGGTAGCAGACGGGTGATCTTGAGCAAGTTGTGCACAAACTTGCTCAACTCGCTCTGGTTGCTTTGATGAGTGCGAAACAGTCTCCTCCGATTCACGGAGGGATGAAGAGTTAGGAGGAGCAAAAGATGAGAAAAGGAGGTCCATCTTGCGATTGCGTCTCTCGGAGTCCCGAGCAAACTGCTCCATGAGAAGCCTCAATTCATAGTTTGGATCTGGCTGTGGAGTGTAGCATGGCTCTGCAGAATAGCCCGGGAAGGCTGCCATGGGTAACTCTAGCTCCGATGGCCCTTCTGGTTGTGGGAGAAATTCTTCTTGGTAATGAGGTTGTTCTTGATAAGCCTAGGGGTCTGATTGTTCACCGTGGTAAGGGGGTTGGTACTGGAACCTGAATCCATAGTCTTCTCCTCCTTGATTGCTCCAGGGGGTCTCGGGGTAATACCACTCGGACGGTGGTGGATACCCCCAATGGTTGGAGAAGCCATGAGGATCCATGATTCAGATCTACACCAACAAAAACACCCAAGTGAAAAGAAAGGGTGGAAAAGAAAAGAAAAACGCTAAAATAGCAAACTTCTGCCTTTCCTAATAATCTAGAAAGTCCCCGGCAACGGCGCCAAAAAAACTTGACTCGCTATGACACAACTCCTAACAATGGCCAAGTGTAAGCAAAGAAAGGAACTGCAGTATAGTGGCTCAAGTAATAAATATCGAATCCACGGGTCTCTAGAGTTACTATTACTCACCTTCAGTTCATTATCTAGCAAACTATATTAAGATGAAAGAACTAAAACTACTCTAGCAAACTACAGTTAAAGTTAATCTAATTACCACTTGGGAACTCACTTACGTATGATTCCCCCTAGCCACTAGCCAGATTAATGATTGATGATCTCTAACCTGTTTCACTTTCATTCACAATGTGGAGAATCCTTAACTAGACCTTGAGTCTCGACTAAAGGAACAAGGCCCTCTTGAGTCAATTGCCTAGAGAGACGTATCCTTCTCTAGAACAACCGATCAAGGCATTCTGAACTAGACTCCCTCTATCGAAAGAGGTTCTCAATTGATACAAAGCAGTGAATCGACCCTCGACTAAAGCAATCGATCCACTACTATCAATCTATGGTGCTCTATTGACCTAATCAGGTATTCGCTTTCATAGGATCAAAGCATAATCAATAATCTCGACTAAAGCAAAATTGAATCATGAAAACGTGCATAGATTGAATATGAACTCAATATTATCAAGTAAGAGTACTCATACAATAATCCAATCAAACAAACATAGCTAGGGTTCCTCAAAACCTAAGTGAAGGGAAGTTACTCCATAGAGAAGAGAGAGACTGCAGTAAGAATCTTCAGATGATCAGTCTTCAAGTCCATGCTTGTTCCTCGAGCTTCCAAGTCAAAGAAATCCTCCAATTCCACTCTTAGAATGCCCTCAAATCTCCCTCTCTCTCTTTGGTTCGTCCCTTGGATGTTTGGGATCCAAAACCCAGCTCCCTCTTTCTTTTGGCTTCAATCTGCCTAAAAAACCTGATTCTGGGCAAAACACGGTCGAGGACACAACCGTGTTTTACTTTTGCCCACCCGTGTTTTGCCCCCAGCAGCCCTCGTCGGCCAAAACATGGTCGTGCCTAAATATGGACACGACCGTGTTTTAATTTAGGCCAGCCCGTGTTTTTACTGCCGAACCTGTTCCCCTATACTCAATGATTCGTTTCTCCCTCGTCCGGACTCCGAATCAGTCGACGTTTGATCCCAGACGCTCGTAGTCTCATCCTCTTTCTTTTCATGACAAGATTGAATGATTCTTTGTCCATAAAGTGAGGTATAAATCTATTCTTCTTCAGGTCATGCCCGAGTTTCTTCTCCCTAATCGCCAATTGATCTCTGATTGACTTGAAACTTGCGCCTATGCTTCACTTTATGTGCTAGGACCTGAAATGTGACAAAGGAACACAACCTAGCGTAAAATAGGCCAAAGATGCGATAATTAAAGCTCAAACAGTCAAGAAACAAAGGGGAAAACATGTGCAAAAAGTGAAATCCCTAACCGCATTAGATGTGGTTATTGCAGCACGTGGCATGATCCCTTTGAACACTCTCTCATTACGAGCCAGCTAGATAGCCCAAAGGCAGGCCACCAAAGCCGGGACAGAAAACGCAGGAGAGTTCTCGTGAATATCCAAAAGCCACATTACAACAGGCCTAGCATCCTGGGGGAGGGTAAGAGAAGGATGGTTAACCTACCACATTCTAGCTGCGTGGGGGCATTGAAAGAGGCAATGCCTAACATCCTCGTCTCCCAAGTCACAAATCGGATACATCGGAGATGGGCTACATCTACGAGACCAAAGATTCCTCTTAGTAGCCACCGCATTCCTCGATATCCTCCAAATAAAGGAGATGATCTTTGGGGGCAATGATAGGCTCCATAACCACTTCCAGGCTTTGGAAGTGCAGTCAGGATGGTTCGGATTTGGAGTCCCAAGGCGATTCCTTTCCGACTCTCTGAAGACATGGTAAGCTGATTTCACAGTGAAAATCCCTGATCTCTCGAAATGCCAAACCCAATTATCCCTAGCATCCTCATTCCCAATTGGGATCCTACTAATAGCCTCCACTTCATCCGTTGTGCAGCTTTGACGAATGATATCAATTTTCCACTCACAACCATCATCCACGATCCATTGAAAAGCCCACAGTTGCTGCCTAATCCCAGGCTGAAGTTTAAAAGTAGGCAGACCTGGAATCCAAGGATCTTTCTCCAATGAAATCGCCCGACCACTTCCCATGTTCTTCCTTGCCCCCAATTTAAGATTTGATCTTGCTTCACAAATACTTGACCAAATCCAAGATGGTTTCCTTCCTTTCCCAACCTCCATAAAGTCACAATCTGGGAAACAGAGACCCTTGAGAAGTTTAACCCATGTCTCATCCTTGCCATTCAAAATTCTCCAGCCTTGCTTAGCCAGTAGTGCCATACTGAATTGATGGAAATCCTTGAATCCCATACCCCCTTCTTGTTTTGGAGCCGTGAATACACTTCCCTTTCTCCTTGGAATGGCCTTCTTGTCCATATCTCCACCCTAGAAGAAATCCTTGAGACGAGAATTCATCTTCTTTGTTGTGAATTTTGGAAGTAGGAAGCGTGAGATAAGGTAAGTTGGGTAACCCTGGAAAACAGATTTCAACATCACCTCCTTCCCAGCTTGCGAAAGAGCTAGACTCTTCCATGTTTGACCCAGATTCTCCATTCTGTTGATAGGCACCGAAAATACCTCTTTCTTTGATCGACCCCATTATGTAGGGACCCCAAATACTTTCCCAGTCCGGTTGACAAGGGGATACCTAAAGAGTCTGAGATGAGCTGCTTAATAGTATCAGGAGTGTTGTGACTGAAGGAGATTGCTGATTTTCACAATTAATCTCTTGACCCGTCAATGCTCCATAGATCTCCATTATTTTCTTAATGTGCATAGCTTCTGCCAATGACGCTTTCCCAAACAGGATTGTGTCATCTGCAAAAAGGTCTGGGTAAGTCTAGGACAATATGGGTTTAGAGAGATACCTTGGAAAATTCCCTCTTGAACACTTTTTGAAATGAGGAAAGATAAAGCATTAGTCAGGAGAATGAAAAGGAGAGGAGAAAGAGGATCTCCCTGACGGATGCCTCTGGATGGATGGAATTGCTGCGAGGGTTGACCATTAAACAACAGTACAACACTGAGAAGCAAACTGTCTCAATGCATTCCTTGATCCAAAGGCACCACTGCTGAGCAAAACCCATAGCTTTGATGATGTTCTCTAAGCACTCCCACTCAACAATATCATATGCCTTTTTGATGTCCAACTTAATCATCATTTCCCACTTTTCCCCTTTCGGTCGAGTCTTAAAGTGATGCATAACCTCATGAACAATGAAGATGTTATCCTGGATAGCTCTTCCCCCGTGAAAGTTGCTTGCAAATTCGACACAAGAGAAGGGATCCATTGATTCAGCCTTGTAGTCATGATCTTTGAAATGACCTTATACCTGAAGTTGCAACAACTGATAGGTCTGAATTGAGAAACTCTCTCCGGGTGCTGGATCTTAGGAGTCAAAACAAGGTGTGTATCATTCCATTCCTCCGGCATAGCATTCAGTGAGAAGAAATCTTTGACCTCCTCAAGTTGAGCTCCAATTGTCCCCCAGTAGTTCCTATAGAAAAGGCCAGGAAAACCATCCGGTCCCGGAGATTTACCCGCACCGAGCTCAAAAACCGCCTTTCTAATGTCCTCCACCTCAATAGGCTGACATAAAGCTTGATTCATTTCGTCAGACACCACACAAGGAATACTCCTGAAAAGATCAGGATCCACCACCATATCCCTTTTCTGAAACAGATTCCTATAGAAAGAAACACAGTGATTCTGAAGATCATCATGGTGAGTCATCCAAATATTCATGTCATCCAACAACTTCAGAACCTTATTACGATGACTTCTCAGGATGGTCGATGTGTGGAAGAAGTTCGAATTTTTATCTCCACCTTTGAGATATTGCACCCTGGATCGTTGACGCCAGAAGATCTCTTCCTCCTTCCAAAGAATGTTAAGTTCAGCAAGCAGTGACCTCTTTTCCTCAGCCACAACCGGATCACGAGTGAAATCCAGAATGTCTTTCAACCTATTTTTGATTGCTTTAATCTGAAGAGCAGCATTCCTCACATTATTTTTCTCCATTCTAAAAGCTCTCTTCGGCAAGCATTCAAGCAAAGTTGGTGATTTCCACCTCTCTCCCATATGCGCCTAATAATGTCACCACAACTTTCATAATTAGGCCACCTGTGGTCAAATCAAAATGTGGTTCTCCTCCTTTTTTGGTTACCATACAAGTCAACTCTCATCGGGCAATGATCCGACCCAATCATTGGTTCATTGTGGATAATGGCCTGATCAAATGCCACTCTCCACTCAAGTGAGCAGAGTCCTTGGTCCAACCTTCCAAGAATCTTCCTCTCTTCTTGTTGCATATTTGATCAGGTGAATCTTGGTCCCTTGAATTCCACATCAAGAAGTCCATTGTTGAAGACAAACTCTTTGAACGGTTCCATGACATTTCTTCTCGGCGGGTTGCCACCTTATTTTCTGAGGCATCCAAGTCCGCATTATAATCACCCAAAAGTAGCCACAGCCTTTCATTAGTAGGTCTACAATCACTAATAATCTCTCAAAATTCCCTTCTCTCACTAGGGTCATTGGGAGCATGAAGAAAAGTGAGAAAAAAGCCACCACCTAATTTAACGAAAACATGAACAAAAAACTCCGAGTGGTCAAATGGTACCAAAATGCTGCTAAGTTTCGCCCATCATTTAAAAATATAAATAATTCCATTATCAGGAAACAGTGAAATAAATGAATTTTACCTGACCCGCTATAAATAGTACAAGAACTCGATAGGTTTTTGCTCACCTCATTCCCAAGTTATCAACAACAGGCAGGAAATTAGAGCAAAACAATGTACAAGTTCCACTTTCAGACCTTCTGTCAACAGAGAAATAGGGGTGGGGTGGGGTTGGGTGGGGTGGGTACCTCAATATCCATATATGTTTCACACCAAGCATGAGTCAGTATAAGTAATACTCGCGTAGGTATGCGGCGGGGGCGAGTCTACTCACTCTTACATGTTATTTTTATAAAAATATTATGCAAAATTTTACTTTTTATGATACAACGAAGAGAAAAATATTTTATGAATGAAAAATAGCGATAATAGAATGAGTATTGAGTCTACCTAATTGAAGAAAAGTCAATATAAGATAAATATGAATACATTTTGTAAGAAATTGAGATAGGATGAGCCAATAACAGGGCATGATGGGAAAGGGCTGGTTAAAAGTAGATATTAATGTCAGCCTCATCGCGTGTCGGGTCGGGTAATACTCAACGGACGGGTTTATATTGTCATCCTTAATTATAAGAACCCAACAGAATCACACGACTCGATTGATAGAACCATTAAACCACTTGTAATAGCAGTATGGTTTATTTGTTTGGCAGTTAGGAATGAACCGAATAATTTTTTATGTTTAATATGAAATTAGATGAACTACTTTGCTTATTTTGACAAAAAAAATATAGAAAAAATATTTTAACCTAAATTAAGACTATTCAACCTGATTTGCAAATTTTATTTATGCTTTTTTGTTTTGTTTCCAAACCTCTTTATCGGCCTTATATGCTCCACTATGAATTGTCACTGTAGTTACTATCTTGAATTTAATAAAAAAATTATTCTATGAGATAGTTTGGATGATTTATTACAACTTTTGATTATAAATCATATGAATTTAGAATTATTTATAGTTAGTATTAAATTTAAATTAGCGTATTATATATATTTTTAATGCTATAGCAGATGAACAATTCTGTCAACGATTAACTTATAGTTCTAAAACGATTAACCGTTGAACCATAAACAATGACGGAACCAAAAATCTGGATGAAGGAGGCTAAAAATGTGCATTAATTGAATTTGAACATAGAAGGAGGCTGAAGCCTTATCCAGCTACTATATTTTCCAAATTATTCTAAAATTTACATCAAACTGAATGCCAGAGCCGACTCATAGTATTCGGGAGGCCTGTTCGAAGAATTAAAATGTGACCTTAAAAAAATTATGCAAATTTATTAAAAATAAAATATATTTAATAATAGTAAAAAAATTACATAAGTTCAGAACTCCACTGGAATAGGGCCGGCCAGTGGCCTGCACTGCATTTGCAAGCGGCCAAGCGGCCATTAAATTACGGATTGATTTCTGAGACTTCCCCAATCCCCATCGGCCATTTCCACACTCCACTCTATTGACCGACTCCTCCATACCAAAAAAAAGGAAAGAAAGAACAGAGAGTCGGAGATGAGAAAACATAGACTTACCAGATGGCAGACACCAGATACCAAAATCCAAACCACGGCGGCACGGACTAACGGAGTGACGGTCGACGGGAGCGAGAAGTCGGCCCTGGGGCTGAGCAAGGAGCAGTGGCGGACCTAGAATTGTCGGGAGGTGTGTCGCTAATAAATTAATAAGAAAAATTAATAAGAAAATTAAATAGAAATTAAATTCATAAAGTTCACAATGTCATGTTTACAACGAACCACAATGACTTTTCATGTTCTGAAATGTCTGTAAATACATTCATTGTTTATGTTGCAAAGCAAATCTTTTTCGATATATACAACTAAACAATGATTCATAAATTGGTCACTCAATCGATTTCGAAGTTCATTCTTGATTATCTTCATAGCTGAAATCTTTCGCAACTTTTAATTGCGACAGGTAAAGTCAACACCAACTTCCAAAAGTTGGCACATTGTGGGGGACAAGTTATGTGAGGAAATAAGCAACTTTTTCATCTCCAGTATCATGCCACCAAATTGGAATGACACTTTTATCACCCTGATCCCTAAGGTTGGAGCCCCAGAGACCATTGGACAGTTCAGGCCAATAAGTTGCTGTAACTTCCGTTACAAGGTAATCACGAAGATTCTATCCAACAGACTTCGGCCACACCTGCCAAATCTTGTGAATGAACTGCAATCAGCTTTTACAGGGGGAAGACAGATTCAAGATAACATTGTGATTGTGCATGAAGTCCTAAACCACTTCAAGAAACACAAGGAAGGACACCAAAAGAACATGATGATGAAACTTGACATGAGGAAAGCCTATGACCTAGTGGAATGGGAATTCCTCATTGAGCTGCTGAAAGCTTATGGTTTCAGTGATAATTGGTGTGGATGGGTCAGAACCTGTATTGACTCGGTGAAATTCAGAATCATGTTCAATGGAAGACCCTCAGAGGAGTTTATCCCTTCCAGAGGCATTCGACAAGGAGATCCCCTCTCTCCTCTCCTCTTCATTTTGATGTCCAATGCTCTATCGTTCCTGATTGAAAAAGCAGTTCAAAGAGGAGATATTCGAGGGTTAAAAATCAATAGATCCTGCCCTACCCTCTCTCATTGCCTCTTTGCCGATGACACAATCATCTTCGGTGAAGCTTCAACTACTGAAGCAGAGAAGACTCTGGGGATCCTCAATGATTATGGATCGATAACAGGGCAGGAGGTCAATAGAGAAAAATCATCTTTCTTCTTCAACCGCAATCTACCAGATGATGAAAAAGAAAGGATCATTCAGACGGTTGGATTCGCGGAGTCGAATTGTCATTCAAGCTACCTTGGTGTCCCAACTAAATGGGGAAGGTCTAAAAAGGAAACCTTTCATTTCATCATTCAAAGAATGGAAAGCAAAGGAGAGTCCTGGAAGAGTCTGCTCCTATCACCAGGAGGTAAAGAAACACTCCTTAAGGTTGTTTCCAAGCTTTACCTTCCTTCGTTATGTGCCTTTTCCTTCTCCCACGATCAGCCACCAACAAAATGGACTCCATGCTCAAAAATTTCTTCTGGGGAGGGAATATCTCTAAGCGATCAATACAGTGGAGAGCGGGACATGTCCTTTATGCACCAAAAGAGGAAAGGGGTTAGGGTTCAGGCCCTTCCACATCTTTAATTTGGCCCTTCTTGCAAAACAAGCTTGGCGTATCCTTACCTGCCCCGATGCTCTGTGGGTGAAAGTGCTAAAAAGCATTTACTTCCCAAGAACAGATTTCCTATCAACAAAAAAGGGAAGCAAAGCATCTTGGATCTGGGCCAGCCTCTGGGAAGCGAAGAACTGGATGGAGAAGGGGGTGTTCCGAGTCATTGGGAATGGGGAAACAACGAGGATGTTCCATGATCCCTGACATTTTGATCGGCCAGGCGCTCTCACCCCTCGCAGACCAAATGATTCATCTTCTGCTGCCATGTTCATCGATGCAATCACGCGAGAATGGAATTTCGACCTTCAGAGACATTTCCTCGACCCACAAGACCGTCTCCTCACGGCTGGCACACCTCTTGGACCTGCTACAATGGCTAACTTTTGGGCATGGAGATTTTCTGAGCAAGGTACTTTCTCGGTCAAATCTGCTTTTCACCTCTTTCATAATCAGACACGCAGATGCCAAGGGAATGTAAACCCTTTCCCAGAAGCAGCAAAAGAAAAATGGAAGTGGCTTTGGAGCTTGTCTCTCCCTCCAAAGATGAAGTTTTTCGTTTGGAGTTGTGCGAAGAATGCTTTGGCCTCGAAAGAGAACCTGTTTGCGAGGAAATGCTCCCCCACCAAAGCATGTGCCCTGTGCAACTTTCCATCTGAATCAATCCACCACTGCCTCTTCTCTTGCACACACGCAGCGACAGGATGGAATAGCGAGTGGCCAGGATTGTGTCTCCCACCTCCACTCACCAACATGTTGGATTGGCTGTTTTCCCTTCAGTCACGGCTCTCAAGTTTCTCGATTCAGCGGGTCATTTTCCAAATGTGGCAGACCTGGAAGTCCAGGAATGACCGGATTTTCTCAGGGATTCTCCCTTGGCCACCCACCACGACCTCCAGAGCACAGAATGCACATCACCAATGGATAAACTGCCCCAGGAAGATTGGAGTTCTTCCCTTTCAAACTCAGCAAAACCCACCCCTTGATTGTTCCTCTCCACCGCCGAGTACTCATGACTTTGAGATACACTGTGACGGATCCTTTTTCAGTGATTCACAGGAGGCGGCTTTTGGCGTCGTTGTGACAAATTGCCACGGACAGGTTTGTGACGGGAAAGCTGAGTCTCTACATTGCTTTTCACCACTTGAAGCAGAAGCAAAGACCCTTTGGGAGGGAGCGCGCATGGCTGCTTCACTGGCAGCGCCTTGCCTGATCCTCACTGACTGCCTCTCTCTCATCAAGGCACTGGCAAACAGAAAAGATTTTTGGTCATGGCGAGCAGCAGTTTGGATTAACCACATCAAGAACCTTGCATCCAACCACCCAGCTATTCGATTCGACTACATCAGCAGAAAAAGAAATTCCAAAGCGAATAGGGTAGCGCGTTCTTGTGCAAAGAAACAGCTTCCATCGGAATGGATTCATGTACTTGATGTTATTGCTCCTCTATTGTAACCGATGCCTTCTGCCACAAGTAATGAAATATCTTTGCCCTTTGTCAAAAACTTCCAAAAGCAAGAAAAACTAAAGTATAAAAGAAAAGGGAGATATGGTAGTGGCTCTTGGTAATTAGAAACTAAAACGGGGTAAGGGTGAGTTTTTTATTTCATTTTTCATTCTCAATAAAGGAAGGGTCAAGGGGTGGAAACGGTGAGTTTCAAAGGATGAGGTTATTTATAATTTTCCATTGTTGGGTTGTGGTAGGGATGGCAACCAAACCAATGGTCGCGGGTACCCGACCGCCTCTGACAAAGTCAACGCGGGGAATCCTTGTGTTGACTAGGTATGGAGTAGGTATGGATAAAACCCCCAAAAAAGTTTATGAGTATAGGGCAGGTATGGTTTTTGACTCTCCCGCCCAATACCCAAACCCGCCCCCACCAAGGATATTATGTTATATACATAAAATATAAGGAGTGTATTGTAACTTGTCAATCGAATGAAGGGTAATTAAAAGAAAAAATAAATTGTTAAAATGTAATTGATGGCAACCAAACTGTAATTTCATCCTCTTATGTATTAGTTCCATAATTTTGGGTGTGTAGTATCCATATTTGTCACCATATTCTTTTATTAATGGTGAGTAGTTGATGGGGCGGTATTACCCATGGGTTATGGGTATCCGAAAACCGCGGGTATGGGGATGAGTTGTATGACCTTCCACTGCATGGGTTGTTGTGTGGGTTACTCTAAAACAAGCATACTTATTTGATTTTACTTATTATTGTATATTACTAATTAAGATAAATAACTTTATAACAAGAAAATCTTTTTGTATAATGAAAGTGTGTCGCTCACAATTATTTAGGGTGTGTCGGAAGTCTCGAATTAAAAAAATTTGTACAAAAATATATAGGTACTTCACAAAATTTTCTAGCGACGACACACCAATGCCCTTTACTAGATCCGCCACTGGCAAGGAGACACCGACATGGAACTGACAGTTTGACCCTAACAGAAGCGGGATGCGGGAAGGAGAAGTTGGCCCCCGCCCTGGGCACGGGAACGAAACTGACGAAAGCGCCGGGAAATTGGAACCAGGGGCGGCGGCGGTTTAGGATTTGGGAGGATTGTTTTGTAGTCGGAATAAGGGGAGTCGGGGAATTGCCGAATTGGGCACCGCTGCTGCTTCTCCTTTTTTTCTTGGCCGAGTATTTATATGGAATTGGAGGGGATTGAGTTACGGGTGGGCAACGGGACGAGACGGGATACCCAAATCTGTTTGAAGAGCAAAGTCTATCCCATGTTTCAAACCCATAAGGGTTAA